GCACGCACGCACGCACGCACGCACGCACGCACCTGCCGCGGTGCACGCGCCTCACGCCCCCGCCTCTCCCACACACACCCACGCACACACACTCCTGCCGCGGTGCACGCGCCTCACGCTCCCGCGCCTCTCCCACGCAGGCATGCGCGACGGGCAGAAGATCCAGTTCTCGGGCGAGGGCGACCAGGAGCCGGGGCTGGAGCCCGGCGACATCCTCATTGTGCTCGACGAGAAGGAACACGAGACGTTCCGGCGTAACGGAGAGGACCTGCTGTTGAAGCTGGAGCTGGAGCTGGTCGAGGCGCTGTGCGGCTTCCAGAAGGTCATCCGCACGCTCGACGAACGCGAACTCGTCATCACATCCATTCCTGGTGAGCGACGACGTCGTCGGTAGCGCGCCACGTGGTGTTGGTTGGCGTGTGTCGTATGCAGGGGGGAATTTTTTTTTTTCACGGGAGCTCTTTTTCTGTGTTCGAAGTCTGTGGGAAAATTTTGTCAAAAATTTTACGGGAGCTATTTTGAGCCTCACGGGAGCGATTTTGGAGGTTTGAAGAGCGAATCGCTCATCGCTCTCCGTGTTTTTTTACCCTGGCTCACCCGCTGCTTTGCTTCCGTAACACAGGTGAGGTCGTCAAACACGGAGACATCAAGTGTGTCATAGGTGAGGGAATGCCGATGTACAGGAACCCGCTGGAGAAGGGTCGGCTCATCATCCAGTTTGCTGTCAACTTTCCCGAAGATAACTTCCTGCCCCCTGAGAAACTTGCACAACTAGCGGTAGGCTCTTTTATTTATATCTTTTATTATAGCTTTTATTATTCATATCTTTTATATATTTATATTTTTATCTTTTATTTTTTTACACTTTTTTCCCTTGCTTGCTACATGCGTAAAACCGTCCTACATATTCCGTATCTAATCCCTAATGACATGTGGCTTCTGTAGAGTATCTCAGCATACAGGGCATGAAATTCAGGTTTTTTTGTACCAGCCCAGAGGGCTGGTAACAGCAATTTTTTACCAGCCCTCACCATAATTTACCCATACAAATTTTGTTTGTAAAATCAATGTCATGTTTCATGCTTGCATTCTCGATTTCAAATTTGTAAAATGTTGATAAATCATGGCGTGGTATCCTTCAGGTGAAACAGTAATGTAGGCTATTTACTCATTAATACTATAAATACAAATGTAGGTAGTCGCTAACACAGCTGAAACCACCGGCTCGGAGGGCCGGTGTTTTGTCAATGTTACCAGCCCTCCAAATAATTTGCCAGCATGTGTCGGTGCTAATTTGGTGCTTTGGCATACTAATCGACGCCGTGCAAGCGTCGCGTACACGGATCCCCTACTACGTGCAGCGATTGCAAATGAGACGAGTAATCAACGCTTTCTTACATCGCAGCGGTTGTTACCGGATGCTGAGGAGCCAGTTGTCACGGACGACGCGCAGCACGTCAACCTCGTGTCAGTCGACCAGGCGCATCAACACCGGCGTCACCATGGCAACGCGTACGACAGCGACGATGAGGATCACCAGCGCCAGGCCGGCGGCATGCAGTGTCAGACGCAATGATGACCGACGCGCCACACGGCTAGCATCATGAAATATATACACAAGCACAATGCAGAAACGTGGACCCAACTCACAGCATATAGATACAGCATAGTAAACTCTGTCCTCACTCTTTTTCTCTCCTGTTAGCTTACTGTAACAACTAGGACTGACTGCACATGTACAGGTCTTTCTGGTTCGCCCACCGTCACTCATTATTACGTAGTCTGCTTGCCCCATCTCTCTGACTTCCCACGCTGAATATGTGCAAGCTTTGTGTGTGCAGACAATCGTATTGCATGAGTATTGCACGAGTATTGCACGACTAGTTGTGGTCTTGATTCCTGATCTCTATCGATCACAGCAGCTATGTGCCAGGTTGCCGGAGGTAGTGTAGAGATGGTCAGGTCATGGTAGCAGGGGAGGCAGGAGGCAGTGTATAGATGCAGTCCAAGTCTAGGTGGGCAGGGGATGGAGGAGTGGCAGTGTCTAGATCGGTCGGTATGGTGGCAGGGGACGGGGCAGCAGGAGTGCAGTGTAGAGTTAATGGTCAATGGTCATGGTGGTTCAGAGGGAAGGCAGCGAGGCAGTGTTAGTTGTAGAGATAGGTCGATGTCATTCGTGTTCAGCTGGAGGCCGGAGGCTCAGTTGTAGAAGTATGGTCAGCGTCATGGGTGGAGGGGATGGCAGGATAGGCAGTGTAGAGCATGGGTCAGGATTCATGGGGCGGGAGGCAGGAGGCAGTGTAGATGGTATCAGGTCATCGGTGGCAGGGGAGGCAGGCGGCAGTGTATAGAGATGGTCGTTGTCATGGTTGTTAGGCAGGGGAGGCAGGAGGCCGTAGTTGTAAGATTTGTCAGGTCATGTAGCAGGGAGAAGGCAGAGGCGAGTGTCGAGATGGGTTCAGGTCTAATTTGGTGGACAGGTGGAGGCAAGGAGCAGTTGTGTAGAGTATGGTCAAGGTATGGTAGCAGGGGAGCAGGAGGCGTGTAGAGATGGTCAGGTCATGTGGCAGGGCAGGGCAGGAGCAGTGTTAGAGATGTCAGGTACATGGTTGCAGAGGGAGGCAGAAGGCGAGTGATATAGAATGGTCATGGTCTGGGTGAGGAGCGAGTGTATAGATTGTCAGTGGTCATGGTGGCAAGCGGGAGCGCGCAGTGTTATAGATGGATCAGTGCCATAGGTTGGCAGGGGATGGCAGGAGGCCACGTGTAGGGATGGTAGTCATCGGTTGGCATGGGGAGGCAGGAGTCAGTGTAGAGTGGTCAAGGTCATTCTGGATGAGGGGAGGAAGGAGGATCAGTTTGTAGAGATGTGTCAGGTGAAATTTGGTGGCAGTGGGAGGCAGGAACGTGCAGTGTTATAGGATGGTCAGGTCCATGAGGTATGGCAGGCGAGGCAGGGAGGGCAGTGTTAGGATGGTCAGGTCATAGGTGGCAGGGAAGGACAGGAGTCTCAGCTGTAAGAGATGGTAGGTCATCAGGGCAGGGGAGTGGCAGGACACCGGGCAGTGTGAGTATGGTAGGTCCCATGGTAGAAGGGGATGCAGGGAGGTCGTTTGTATAGTTTAGATTAGTTTATTGTCAATTTAGTGCATTTGTTCTATAATTAGCTGTGGTCACTATTACAATGCTCAAAGGATGAGGTGGCAGGGCTATTGCGCGAAAGGGAGCAGGATAGGCGTGCTATAGAATGTCAGGTCATGGTGGCAGGGAGCAGGAGGCAGCTGTAAGAGATGTCAGGGTCATGGTGGCAGGGGAGGCACGGAGTCAGTGGTTGCTTGAAGCGTATGGTCATGGTACAGTGGGTTGTCGATACGGGCGGATCTGTGGGGGCGTCAGAGACGCCGGAGGTTCCTGTAGGGAGTATGGTCAGGTCATAGGTGGCAGTTAGAGCTCAGACCGTTTCAGAGTCGCGAACTGGTTGTGCAAGGAAAGGCTCAGTTGTGGAGTACGTAATATGTGGTCGGGTTTACATCCATTATCTGTGTAGGCAGGGAGGTGGGATGTGGAGGCAGAGATGACTAGATGTAGAGATGGTCAGGTCAATTTTCTGGTGGAGGGGTGAGGCGAGGCAACGCGCGGCAGTTGTAGAGAATGTCAGTCATAGGTTGAGGGGAGGCAGGAGGCACGGTGTATAGTATAGGGTCAGCTGGTCATGGTTGCGGAGAGGGTGACGGCAGGAGGCAGTTTATATTGATGGTGCTGGTCAGGTCCTGGCTTTTTGGATAAAAAATGTGGATGAGTGCAAGTGAGTACGGAAGTTGAGGTTCAGGCCGGATTTTAGGTCGGTTGATCTGGTGGTTTAAAGGGTTTACGGATTGCGCAGGAGGAGTGCAGGAATGAGCGAAGTTGTGTACGCCCTCTAAACGGTCTATGACGCTACAAGGTTTTGTGTTTCTTGTTTTTATTATGCATATGTGATGTTTTGGCAGTTTCGATGCTGGCATGTTTTAGTGTTGTACGCCCAATCGGATACTGCCAAGAATGGTGTTGGCTAGGGTCAGGGTCTTTTATTGTTAAAGGGTTGTGAGCAGTATGGTCAGCTCATGGGTTAGCAGGGGAGGCAGGAGGCAGTGTATAGTATGGGTCAAATAGGTCGCATGTGATAGAGGCGGGCAGGGAGGCATCTGTCACAGATCGGAGCTATAGTCATCGCTCCAGCGGGTAATATCGTGTGGCAGGGAGGAGTTATGGCGGCTCATTGGTGGAGTGCATGTAGGTATGTTCAGCGAGGCTCTTTGGTAAGCTAGCGGGGTTGAGACAGGTATATGTTAATCATGCGGCAAGTGCTATAGATTTGTGGTATTGCAATAAGTCCGTGGTTCTATTTGAGTCTGCGAAGATCGCGGGCAATTTGTGTTGGATTTTCTAGCTTTAATATGGAGCCAGAGTTAGGTTCATGTTCGAGTCTCAGACATGATAAAGGCGGAATGTGAGAGCTGTAATGGGTAGAGCCGTCCAAGGGGTCTAATTCATTCCTTTTTAGGGGGATGAGACAGGGGAGGCCAGAGGCGTGTAGAGAATGGTCATGGTCGTATGATTGTGTTGGCGATGTGGAGGGTATCGCAGGCTTCAGTGCGCGCATTCGCTTAAGTTGTAGAAGGATGGTCAGGTCATGGTGGCAGGGGAGGCAGGAGGCAGTGTAGAGATGGTCAGGTCATGGTGGCAGGGGAGGCAGGAGGCAGTGTAGAGATGGTCAGGTCATGGTGGCAAGCGAGCTGGAAACAAGTGTAGAGATGTTCAGGTCATAGTGATAGAGGAAGCTAGAAGCAGTGTGAAGATGGTCAGGATGGTTGCAGTGCAGTGTAATATATTATTAATTATTGACCGACATTTGAAGTAGTGTAAAATCAATATATATGTGAACGATATTTTGTTTTGTTTTAATACGTGAACACTGGTGTGAGTCATAATAAGTTCATCAGGATGAAACTGGTGTTTATTGGCCGTGGCTTGTTACGCACACGTACCTTTTTTACCGTACCATTTTTATTGCACGCCAAAGGCATTCCCTGCTAAAGCAAATGATTTTTCAGTCCCCAAAAGATGAAAATCGTCCGAATGTAGTTAACAACGATGCTTTAGGTCGGTTAATCATAATCGGTGGTGCAGTGAAACAACTGATGCTGCTGCTTGCTGTGTATCGTCTATCATTTAATGATTCGTCTTTATTATTTCACAAAGTCATTCAGCATCTTGTATCATACAGCTTTGTTTCATTACTTGTATGTGCACATTAAGTCCTCTCCCACCCCACCCACCACGAATGATAACACTTCAGTATTTTACTAGTTGCATAAAGCAGTCAGGTTGCGCTTACAAATGTATTGGTGTAACTTCTCTAACTGCTATGTGTACGATGGGAAAGACACGTTGCGTATGTAGTTGTTGGTGCGGACCAGAGTGGGGCGGGGATGGGTATCAGAGCAACACACACTGTAAAATGTATACAAAACTGCAACCAACGTAACATTGCAGTGACGAAGTTAAACCCCCAGATGCGCAAGTTCAAGAAATGTATTTATTAATATTATATTATAAATCGTTTGTCGAGTGGTGTATCTACGTCTCTGTTTTTTCGCAATTATTTCCCTGTTTGTGTTCTGTTGTGCAGCGCCTCTCCCCTGCAATTACATTACACCAACCTTACACAACCAAGCTGCAGGTGACATAGGACTCTCTTCCTTATCTCATGTAGAGGTGGACAACCCTCGTCGCTGGCTGCTAACCCAAGGTGATTGCTCTAACACAGGTTGACTATTAAACTATAATTATTAGCAGCTGCATTGTCATAGTCAGATGCAGCTTGTAGAATGGCATGAGCGTGCGTCCGTCCGGCCGTGCGTCAACAGTTGGGCACAAATCTTAACCGCTTGACGTACGGTCACGATATTCGGGACGTCGGGGGGAGGGGGGATTGTCAAAACGAGTTGGGATGTCGAAGCTGGGGGTCAAAGGTCAAGAGGTGTAAAAGAAGGGAACTCTCCCTCTTAACTTAAGATTGCCCGGCCAAATCTAATGCGACTAAGCTCGTGGTATTCGGATGTATGCATCATTGTTGGACAGCCATCACTGTGCCGAAATTGTCCGAGGTCAGGTCGTTTTAGGACATTCTGGGACCTGGGTTTGACGAGCGATTCGGGAAAACTTTTTTGTTTCAGCGTGTACTAGATTTGTATGCTTTAATGAGCACCTGAAATGTATTTTTGTGACATGCGAGGAGGTCGGTCAGATAACCTTTCTGCCTCAAAGGAGGAGGCTTAACATTGGATTTGTTTACTGTTAGAAGAATTGACTTGCGGGGTTTGCTGTAGAATCTACTACATGCCTGCGCTGTTGAGCTCATGTTCACAAGTGAATATTTTCAACAGCTCATTTGGTGAAGAGGTTGATGCTCCTGTATGCGTTAATTTTATGGCTTCTGTAACTGTCAGTAGTGCTTAAATGTCACTTATTTGCCTTCAGTGGCCACTGCGCTGCATGTGGTGTGATATTACTGTGTGTTTTTGCGCGTTAGTAGTTACAGGTGGCATTCTCTATTTTCAGCTGTGGCATTGCGCTACGGTACTGGATGATTCTTACCTATTCTGTCTTGCAAATAGTTGTTGCTACTACTTACGATGGGAGCTGCCTCTTAATTCTTAAGGCCTTAACGTCCGCTTTTCTAGTGCACGCTTTTAATACGATCCCAACGACTTTCTTTGAGAAGGTTCCTGGATACCATTCTGTGCTTGGCCACTGTTTCGGCGGCGTATGTGATGTTGGTGACAACTATGGACTCAACAGGTTACTAGATCCCCCTCCCACCCGACACAGGTCCCGGCCAGAGTAGCGTGTAGTTAGCGCTTCGCTCGCCCGGCCTTGTTTGTTTCAGCGGTGACCTAGCACTTTTTTATACTTTATGAAAGGACCGATGATGTTACTTTCTGTTTGCTGAAAGGCAAGTGTCGGATAACTTTTGACCTCAGAGGAGGGTATAACTGGATTTTGTTGCTGTTACAAGGATGAACTGCTTTTGCTATTGTGGATGTGAGGCTACAGTTGCACGTTCGCAATTGCAAAGGCAGAATGTTGTTGACACGCGTTCGCTACGCTCCTTAAATCACCTATTTCTAAAGCAGTCGCTATTAGCTCCACGTGTATTGCACTCTGATGGCTCGCGTGGTAGGCAACATTAGGGGGCGCGCTCTTATAGCTGCATGAGGGCAGCGAGGTGCAACTGGCACTTTTCTTCTAATTATTGCCTCGGCAACCTGAGGCAGCATGTGTAACTTCACAGCTGAGGCCAAATTCTCCCCTGCCCTGTATACTTCGGATTTCAGCAACTCCCTGGGTGAGGTATCAGCACGAAGCGGTGATGCCATCTTTGATTTCTGGTGCACTGTGCAGCACCATATCGCCGGCACTGCTGTTGTATAGCCCCGCCCCCACGTATCCCCCCACCACCACCACTACGCTCGCGCTCGACACATATCCATGATAACATGTTAATATAGCGAAGTCATTAAAGTTACACAGCTGTATCCATATTACTGCACTACCGGTATAGCAAAGCCTAGCTATCATAGATTTTAGATCTGTATTAGTAGTATCCTAGATATATATGTTCTGAGCGCGAACGCAGTGATGGGAGGGTGCTCTTCATTCGTTTGCCAGTGAGTTTAGCATCAGAACACTGGCCGTCAGATGAGCGCTGTCGCTCTGCGGCACTTGTTGGTTATTAACACGGACACTTTTCAACAAAAATTTTAACACTAGCGTACACTTTCACACTCGCTCACACATACATTCCCGTGCACACTTACACGCAATCAATTTCCTGGCTTCACAATATGATTAGAGATGGAAATTTAATTATTCACAATAAATTTATCATCACAATCAAAACAGGAATAGGGACAATCTGACCAATCACGCACCAGCTTACATCATGCCAAATATTTGCTATGGTCAACACTGGATTAGCAATAATCGAAACGTGGAAACTTCAAAGAAAATTACCGTAAAATGGGACCAAAATATTAAATTGTCCGTCGGACCATTGACTTTGAAAATCTGATGGTCCTGATTATTTGATGGCCCCGGACCATCGCTTATTTCCACCCCTGCTTGGTATAGGGTCAGTCAGATAACCAGCAATGAAGACCGGCTTTTTATTTTAGGTAAAAAATGTAAATTCCAGGACATTAGACATAAAATAAGGACTTGGACCTATATCCAAGGACTTTCAATGACAAAAGGAATGAAAGTGTCAATGACACTGCTAAGCCGGCCCCGCCCGCAAGACCAAAGTAACCGACGATGCAACATGCGTGAGTGACGAGACACGAGTCTAGTTCTAGTCCGTGTTTTAAATTTGAAGCAATCATCGACGTACATTATAGAAACGAAGGTCTATATGCGGAGAACTCCACATTATATACTACTTCGATAATTATGTGTAATTTTTTATGTGAAAATAATAAATAATCGTATTTATATTAAATTATAACATTATAAACAACAGCTTGCCGCATAGCACAGCGCCTCATCTAACGTCTTACGGCGGATGACTTCTTGTGGCTGCGAGTTGTGGGATTCTTAGTAAACCCTGTTATTTTTTGTCCAAATGCTGTTCAATCACGCCCGAAATAGGTGCGAATGCACAGCAAGATGCGTATCAGCGCAACCTTCTCAAAGATGGTTTCGTGGGCGATCAGTTTATGGAAAGTTGCCACGAGATGGCGTGTCACGTTTAAGTGCTCTTAGATTAAGATTGGAATGCTCCCATTGCATTCGTAGCTAGCAAACAACTATTTCCAGACAGAAATCTAGGTTAAGCACTCATCCATTTACCTACGCAAGCCTACAGGCTGCCCAAATTGCAATAGAGAGCTGCCACCTGTAAACAATTAATGCAGGCACAAAACTGCCCCAACATGCACAGCACTGCAGTGCTGCATGAACCAAAAGATGCAGGCATACGTGACATGATAAGCAATTACTGCCACCCAGTGATCAGCAATGACATAGACAATTATACGATTTTAAGGCTACTAATACACCTTCGTTTGTAAAACATCAAAACTTTAATGCGTTTCGAAATTGGTTCACTGTCGAACCATGTGCTAGCCCCCCTCATCACCCCCCACCTCGCAGGGGCCGTGTACTGTCCTAGTATTCTACTAGCAAACCGCAGTCAAATTCTTTGCTAACAGAACAGTCAACAAATCCATGTTGTTACCTCCTATCTTGGAGGTAGGGGCGAGGGGAGGGTAGGGGAGGGGGTGCTCGGAATGGGTGCGGGGGGAGGGGGTCGGGGAGCAAGGGAAAGGTGGAGCCTGTGATGGAGGGCCTCTAATAGCAATAAGCAGGTTCACTCCTTTGTTGAAACATGTCAACAAATCCATGTTTAACCCTTCGCTCTTGAGGTCAAGAGGATTATCCGACACTTACTCTTTCGCCATACATTGTCAGCACGGAAGGGACATTTCCAGGGTCCTGTCAATAAAGCCATAAAAATGCTAGCGTCACCGCTGAAACAAAAATAGTTTTTCCAATTCGCCTGCCGTCAGACCATGTCCTCAGAAAATGCTCTAAATCGCCCTGCTGCCATTGACTTTGACCTGTGACCTCAATTTAGCACAGTGATGGCTTTCCTACCATATGCTATACACCGACTATCCGAGCCGTACCGTCCGAGCCCGTTTAGATTTTAGCTGCCGCAATTAATGCTTTCCTCCTATACCTTAAGTCTAAGAGTGAATGTCCCCCTTCTTTTACACCTTCTTGACCTTTGACCTTGGCCCCGCTTCGACATCCAACTCGTATTTGATGATCCCCCGACGTGCCGAATATCCGTGACCGTTTACGTCGAGCCGTGTTAAATTTGCTGCCCAACTGGTTGACGCACGGACGACGCACGGCGGACGGCACGGCACGGCACCCTCTGACGACGGCCACGATCAAGCGTTCTACAGCTGCATCTGAACTATGTCAGATGAGCTAAAATGAATCACAATTTGCTGATGGAGATTGCGCCTATACCCGCTTTGATGTATTGCTTAGCATAAATCATTATATCATAAAATAATAAATATAATATATAAATATAGTTATTCCAGCAGGAATTTTGGCATTAAAAGATATTGTCAATGAAATATTGTAAAACGAAGACGGACGAGTGTGACACCATAGACGTTTGTTATCTGCGTGTCTATATAATATGCTTATTAATTGCGCAAACGCCACCTACTTTGGCAGTAAATTTCTTTTAAAAGTTATCACAAACCCCTAGACCTTATTCATTCACATATCCAAAAATGAGCAAAAATCCGTTGAACCTGAACTGACTACTGGCAATTCCCATTCTTTCTTTGGGCAGAAAAATTGCAGCTGGCTCGAAAGGACGTCGAGCTGGCTGGCTCAAATAGGACGTTAATATGGGAGCATAGCAAGTAAACAACTATACCAAATTTCAAAACATGTGCGGTCAAACGGTTGCCTAGAGTTATCGGATTGACTGTAGCACAATGGTGACGGACGTATGACGGACGACGACCCATGGCAATAGCTCAGCTTGACAATGTCAAGGTGAGCTTAAAATTAGGGACTTTCAAGGACAAAGGACAAAATTCAAGGGCTGTGGGGACCCTGATACACATTTTTATATACATTTCTTCTGGGCCGTTAACTCTAGGTTGACTTATAAATACACTGGGAGCCTCGCAGTTCCTGCTTGACCGTGTTAGTTAGTTGGATAGCAGACGACTGAACATGACGGGTACTCATTGTGTGCAAACTTCCCAACAATGCCCAAACAAAAATAAACGCAATATTTTATATTATAATACAAACGCTGCCGTTTATTATAGTGTAAGGTGGTTGTGCCATACATGTTTCATTCTTTAGTTCGATACAGATACAATGTATTCATATGGACAGGAGACGGGATAATGAAAAGTAAATAGAACAACACACGTGAACATTTCCTAATGCGCGCCAGCTTTCGTACAACCAGCTGCGGCGGCTGCTGCGGTGTTAGGGCTCCCCAGGTGGGAGAGGAGGCGGTAGACATTCTGGTAGTCAGGTGCACCTGTACTACATGCCTACAGACACGAGTGCGTCTCTGCCGACGTCTGCGACCCCTGCCTATCGACGGAGAGCGGCTGCGGAAAACAACCCAATCCCTTGTAGCTCAGCGAGGTTGCTCCGCGATCGTGAGTGGCTGCAAGGCTCCGTTTACGTGATTACATCATAGCTGATGAATATCGCACACCGCGCCGCGAGTCGATGTAGACTTGGGGCGCTGCTGCCGCCTGCTACTGCCCCCTCGTACGCGCACCGCACGCATCGCGAGACATGTGAACATCGTCACGTCGACTCCCCGAGCGCGTGGCTCAGAATATCCACTGGACCGCCGCACCACTCTCTTACGACACCGTCATCCCCCTGTCCACTGCTGCACGATGGGCATGCACACCCACACACGCACTGATACGTACGCTCACACAAACACAGCCACACAGCTAACTGGCCTCGTGCTAGTCATACACCCGGTTCGAGTTGCTGTCTGGTGGGAATAGAAGACCGCCGTGCTCTCTACTGACCTTTAGCTATCAAATAGAACAGAAGAACTCGTCTCTTTTAGAATCGACCCTCCGGCGACATGCAAATCGAACCTGCTGCATGCATGTGACGAACACACGCCGTGACACACACACACACACCTACGTGTTCCTATTACGAATATAGCAGCGTACCCCAGAACTTTGTCGCCAGGAGGCAGGCCGGTTGTACATTACCAATATGAGGAGACAACAGCTCATGGGGAAGCTCTTATTGCCTAGCAACCTGCACAGCTGCTAAAGTATTTTGCCAAGATGCTTGCTTTATACCAAGGGTCAGTTGTGTTAAAACTGTAATTGTTTACGATTCGTGTTTAAATGCATCTCCTTATTAAAATCTCCACGGCACTACATAAATATTCAGCTAACTCGCCTGGGTAGGCTGTGGAGGTCAACAGGAGACGAGACATTTGGAGAGATAATTATGCCTTGAAGCACATACAGTTGGGCACTAAGAGAAGACATGAATAATTGTCGCCTCAAAACATCACAGATTAGTAGGAAACCCAGCCAATCTAATTACACGGCTACATTTGATTTGTTCCACTCCAATGATGGCCAATTTGGCCAGTTATTGGATCTACCAACTCCTGACAATTCGATTGCCAAAGATAGGGTGAATGAGTGAGGAAGATATTGAAAGTGATGACAGAGGTAATTATTTTCAGTACATCCCACTTGAAACCAATCAAAACCATTGCAACCAAGCTTGCACTTTGTTCACTCTGTGCTGCACACACGATCACTAAACCTTCATGCTACTCTTTTTTCGCTCTTCACCTCTCTCTCTATTTCAATCTCTCTCTCTCTCTCCCCTTTCCTCTTACACAAAGAACAAAGAATGATTAGCAGAAACCAACGGCTTTAGAGAATGTCTGTGTGCCAGAGATGTACACATCATTGAGCAAATGCACTGTATACAAACGAACCAAAAATCATTCGCCTGTTCGGGTCAGGCGTCCATTTCTATTGGAGATGCTACGGTCACGAAAGAATAAGTGGGAGCCACCCTCTCCGTGGGTCGCTACGGTGTCACACAAGAGCCTTACACGACGCGACGCAACAGCGTTGCGTTAGCAACGCAGAGCAAGGTTAGTTACTGGGATGTCGATACCGTAGATCTGGACAACGCTCTCTCTCTCTCACTGTGTACGATACAAACACGGCTACGTGAGAGCAATCGTTGAGCTCTGCAACGAAGACGCCTGTGCCTGAACACGCACGCATGCACAAACGCACGCACGGCACCAAGGCACACGAGCAGGTTTAAGCTACCCTCACCAAGGCACACGAGCAGGTTTAAGCTACCCTCACCAAGGCACACGAGCAGGTTTAAGCTACCCTCACCAAGGCACACGAGCAGGTTTAAGCTACCCTCACCAAGGCACACGAGCAGGTTGAACCACCATCGTTTACCTCACCCTCTCGTTCCATCTTCACGCACGTGCGGGCGCGCGCCCACGCGCCTGCAAATAAACTGCCAGCGCATGTGCGCGCGCGTGCGACGTGACTGATGCTGCAGATGCTATTGATTTTTGAATGGCTTCAGGAAAGGCAGTGCAGCGACGATACTACGTACAGCGGCTAGACACCGACGCCAGGCAGGAGCTATCCGCCGCCGGCAGCTGTCCGATGATGTGTCTCCCTTTGTAATCCCAGTAACCGCTGATCTATCTACGAATGCTGTACGTACAGTGAGCAATGAGGCGGCCCAACGATCCAAAAGTTGCTAGTTTGTAATGCCACTCTGATACGATTTTTTGTTTGCATTTCAGGGGCGGGGCCGGCTGCGCACGTCGTGCATTTCTAGCAGTCGTCGTGCATACGTGCAAGTTTTAAAATTAACTGGACTCAATAATTGAGGTAAAACCACCGTATCAAAGTTGAAACGAAGATCGTATCATGACAACAGCCTTGCAGGGCTACAGCAAACAATCAATCAGTTAGGGATGGCCTGGATCGCTTGAAAACACACAGTTCTGCCAAGGCAAATCTGCTGCTTGCAAACATGCGGACCTACATAGCATTACTCTTCGTCTTGCCATCCTAACAGCCTACCACCACACGCACGCACGCACGCCCCACGTCACGAACACTCCAGCAACCCACGCAGCGCAGCTGTGGGGTAACCCGGGCACCTAGCTCAGACACGCTCAGGGTCCCTCCCCCACCCCTGCCCCCACCTAGAGGGCTGCCGAGGACCGCCACCCTTCCGTCATTAAAACAGTGCTCCTGAGCCGTAACTACTGTAGCGGCGACCGTGGCGACGACGCGCCCAACCGTCCGCGAATTATTACAAAAATAGAAATCATTCACCACAGGGTTTTTTAAACGCGCTGCTAAAATGCGCAGGTACATACGTATGCGCTCAAACGAAGAAACCAAGGAGGAAAGCATCGATCGATTAGCAACATATCTTACAGTTTACAAATCCGTTTTCTCTTACAAATTATTCATACAACTACTGCGGGTGAAACGCAACACAGGCGCACTGCGTCTCACCAGCGAATACACACCGATTATCCATCCCAAGTTCGCCTATACAATATATATAAGAAATTTCACGTAATATATTAAACTTCATATGCACACCGTACGATTAGTCAGGAGTCGGCCTCGTGTCTACCAAAACTCTCGCGAGGTGTGTTGCCCAACAACAAAATTTACTCAAGGCAAAAAACAGCATCTGTTGCACACTCGTATAACGATAATTATGTTTACAGCCGGACTGTACGCATCGGGAGAGACGCGTTACAGTCACGAGATAGGCCCGTTCCGTCTCACTCTGCCCCCTACCTATACCGCTCAGACACCCTCAGCACCCTCCTCAGGTTCACACTCTGTTAGTCGGCCAGCGGTCTACGACGGAATCTAGTCGATATTCGATTATCTGACAGGAGACGTGACTGCACACGCACGCGAGAGAGAAAGCCCTACACCTACCCACCCCCCAAAAAATTCGCGTAATGGTTCCGCACTAGTTTCTCGCAGGATACACAGTCACACATAAATATTAACAACCACACAGGAAAAGCCGCGTACCAGAAGCATATAAACACGCACCAGCGCTCGTGCGGTGCGAGTGACCACGCCTGAATCCCACCGCGAGGCAGGGAGCGGCCGTCGCCACGGTTTCCTCCGCGGCCCGCCGCCGATCTCGCACACGGAATAGGAAAACGCCCGACAAGAAGCGATACATCGAATTTGATTAAATACGGTAATGGCGGAGAGGAGGGCAACGCTTCCCTACTCTATGTCAGACCGCGCACCAATGCAGGTAGCCGGCACTCACGCGGACCGACGGGGCACCGTAGACCACTCGGCGTGCACGGCCCTTCGAGAAAACCGCCCGCGAGGTGACGTGGTGCCTCCTGCCATCACGGCCGCACGCGCGAGCGCGCCTAACCACGCATTATTTACACATAATTAGATCCACCCGGTTTTGAAGATCGCACGAACGCAACGCGCGGTAGCGTCTCTCGACATTTCACGGCCAGACCGCAAGCACACCATCGTCGGACTCATGTGGAGAAAGCCCGGCGGTCAGATCGAGCAGAACTGACCGCCGGGACCCTGCGCAACTTAGCGGCCAAACCATGCAGAACTGACCGTGAGCAACATATTAACGGTCAAGCTCTACAGAATCGTCCGCCAGACGCAACAACTCGGCGGACAAACTCCAAACCAACACTCCTGCAGAGCCGGCCGCACGATATGACCCTCGACAGGTGCTGCCACCCACGCGACGGTGGTCGTTCGTCGGCGCAGACCATTGACCGCCGAGTTGCCGGAGCGCGAGAGCGTCGGCGATGGCGGTAGCCGTACGCGCACGTGCGGAGGGGAGAGAGCCAGAGCCAGATACGTTACTTACGCCCAGGCAGCAAGTATAGGAGGCCGCGTCGACGCACCGTCGGCGACCGCGACGCGACCCCCGCGATGGCGGAGACGCTACTGGCAGCACTTGTTCTTTCTTGAGTCGGCGTCGCCGTTCGTTGGCACGACATGGATGGGCTTCACGCTCGAGCCGGGCGAGTGCTCCTCGTCGGGCGAATCACGGATCTGCTTCTGGGAGACGATCTTGTAGATCTCTGCGACGCAACGACACACAGATTCTCGTTAGCAGATCACACACACGCACACACGCACGCACGCACGCACTCATCAGTGATGGAAATTAACACTCGCCCAGTCGCCCGAGGCGAGTAGAAATAATGTTGGGCCCCAAAATTTCATCGAAAAGTCGCCCGGAATGCGAGGGTTTGTTTTTATAGTTAAACATGCAATAATCAGTGGAATCACTACGGTTTCAGTGCTATGATTACGCCATTACAATTCGCTCACCATTTCTTACAATTTTGATACATTTTTTGACCACTAGAATGAAAACTAATTCAATCTATGCTGCTAGGACTAGGAGTAAGAACACGTTGGTGCACGTTCACGGGGGCGGACATTTTACATGTTGATTCCTGGGTTAAATGTAAACCGGGCTCTCATTGGTTCAGGGCTGGGAACTCAGCCAGTGAGAGCATGTGTTGTACATGGTGTTGTATCTGACATTGCCGATGACCATTGGGAATGAATGTGGGAATTGTAATTACCACTGATCTCTATTACACTAACTAGTTAGTATAATAGAGATCAGTGGTTTTGACATGGTTGTAATACAATCCAATGCAATCTAATAAAAATTGTGATCAATATTAAATAAAATATATTGAAAAAAATAATTAAATTTTGAATAAAATGACATAAAAATGCTGTCCCTGCCAATCACGGAATTTGATCCATTGCCAGTAATAAATTTATGGAACGAGCAAAGTGTCAGGCAGGGCTCGAATTAAGCGACGAGAAGGGCAAGGCAATTTTTTTAGGGCATGTGAGAAATCGCCTTGAATTTTCTCTAAAATGGAAGGGCACAGAGGCAATTTTAAAAGGCACCAAGGCAACTCTCAAAATTTGAGAAGGGCACAAAGGCACTTTTGTAAAATAAAGGAAAACTCATAACAAATCATTACATCAACATCGTCTTGCTTTTAATGTACAAAACAATATGCCCCCATGTAAGCTTACACCGTAACACCGACCCCTGTACCCCCCTCTGCTAATGGAAGTACAGTAACAAGAAATTTTACATGCCCGCTATCAGGAGCGAATAATTATCCGATGCTGTTATTATTCCCTCCTGCGACTATCGGTTTTAAGCTCATCATTGCAACTACAGCACGCACGCGCACGTGTTATGTTGACTCGACTAAAAACGAAACTAGGGCAGTAGATTAAAGGGCACCGACGGCAATTACACAACAGGGAAAGGCAGGTGACTGCCGTCGGTCGGGTTGGATTTTCAGGGGCAGTACGGCGATTGATAGAGGCACCGAAGGCAATTGCCGTCGGTGCCGTCGGTTAATTCGAGCCCTGGTGTCAGGTCAAGAAGGCCGACTTTAAAAAATAAAGATAAAATGCTGGAAAACGCATTGGAAATGTTGAGAATAATGGAGCTGATAATAGAACAGGGGCTCAAACAGACACGATGATGACGGCTGATGATGATGAAACAGGAAATGACAATGGGGACTGGATGGACTGACAATGACCTGAAAACTGTTTTAAAAAAACGATTGAGTAACTACTCTAGTTAATGGCATAAAAAACAAATGTAGAAATTGTTGAAGTACTTCTTTTTTACTTCTTGTCACTAAGGTATAGTATGCCGGAATCCCCTAAATAAATATTTGTATTTGCCACTCGTCGTGCACGTTTCATCAGACACCACCTGACTGTCGCCCTACTCAAGTGACATCATGTATTTTCATAGACTTTGTACCGTTTGCCAAAAAGACTTGCAGTTCTTTTCCCAAAATATTTGCTCTGAATCTTCATGCCCAGAATGCATAATATTTAGAGCACCATTTTAGTGTCAATATCCAAGACGAATCTTGAACTTTGGCGCTTCGTGCCATAAGCTGGGCCCACACTTCATTTATAATTGTAATAAAAAAAAATCATCCCCAGTAACAAGGCACATACAATTTTTAATTATCTAATTTATTAATAACTAATAAAAACTATTAAAACTTTCATTAGCTAGAAAAAAAACAAATAAATTCAATAAAAACCGCCAAGTTAACTGCCAGAAATACCACTACATTCTCCCATTTTACAACATGGCAGAACCTTTTCTAGGCCTGGAAAATCATTTAGTAATTTTAAAAACCTTGCAACTTTCAAGATACCATGCAAACCCTGTTGAAGTTTCGACACAATAAGCGCACCTGCCACGATGCATCAATGAACAACGTTTGCACAACCACCCCACGTGGCACGTGTCGCAGCATACGTGGAGTGAATGAACATTGAATGACAAACGCACGCAATGTGAGGGTGATGAATAATTGAAGCACGTGACAATCGCATCGATCTAGGCCGCACGCTCTTCGGGATACTCTCTCGCTGCGCTTTTGCCATCAACGCCAGATATTCTGTGCAACCACTTTTAGTCAATTTGACGTCCGTGAACATCAGCGAAATGAACAGTGTGTGGAATGTCCATCAGTCATGACCATGCCCACACACAATTCCCCTTTCTACGATCACATGCGCAGGCAAATCTCTCCTACACAAATAAGCACTATATGTGAAAATTTGAAAGCCAAACCAAAAGTATCAAAGCACTGATCTACCGGATCAATACCTAAAAATGCATTGCCATATCATATCATAGCATATAGGATCACCTACCTGTTAGAATATTCTGAAAAGCTGTCTCTACATTTGTTGAATCTAGAGCTGATGTTTCGATAAACGACAGGTTATTCTTCTCTGAAAAGTAACAATCATTGTTAGATTACGATGCTGTTGAAATTATTAAGCAGATTAAACAACTATTTTATTAGCAATGCATGAAAAATACACTAGCTCTGTAAGTACTTTTAGTGTACAATAAACACCCTGGTGCAAATCTAACATAGGGCACGCTGCAACTTAAATACACCTATTCCTAGAGCTTTCCTCCCCTATAAAATGTCTGTGATGCTAGCAGCGCTGACAAATGCCGACTACACCGAATTCCGCATCAAACAATGAGGAGGGGAATAACGACGTCGCTTCACAGCATTTGTGAAAATGATCACGATCCCTGACAGCACGTGCGGTTGACAGAGACTGCAGTCATTTCAACGCACGGAGGGAGAGAGACACAGCTCACAAGTGAACGCAACCACTGTCGTCTCGACATGGGGAGGGAGAGAGACACAGCTCACAAGTGAACGCAACCACTGTCGTCTCGACATGAGGAGGGGGAAAGACACAGCTCACAAGTGAACGCAACCACTGTCGTCTCGACATGGAGAGGGAGAGAGACACAGCTCACAAGTGAACGCAACCACTGTCGTCTCGACATAGGGAGGGAGAGAGACACAGCTCACAAGTGAACGCAACCACTGTCGTCTTGACATAGGGAGGGAGAGAGACACAGCTCACAAGTGAACACAACCACTGTCGTCTCGACATGGGGAGGGAGAGAGACACGACTCACATGTGAAAAGCCCAATCACATCCAGGGTTCTCCAAGAGCACTTATAGCCTGGCGGCCCGCCAGGCTATCGTCGAGCCCCGCCATCCTAAAATGCACCCGCCACTCTAAATATCATAGCCGCCATGCTAAATATCATAGCCCCCAGACCCCCCTAGCATGCAAACCGCCTTCGGCGATTTGCAACTAGGACCGTAAAGGCAGCACACGCAATGCTATAATGAAAAAGCTTGGAGAACCCTGACATCAAAACAGGAAGAGTGAGAGAGAGACAGGGAGACAAGGAGATCGAGAGCGAAAGAGAGACAGGAACAGAGAGAGGAGAGGGTGGGAGGAAGAGAGTGAGTAGACAGATTAGAGAGATTTAATAAAAAATATTGTTTGTTTGCCCTCACCCGACCGACCCGCCAAAAAGGGGCCCGACTCAAAAACTTATAATTGATCTTTCCCATTCTTTTTTTTTTTTACATTGTATCTATCACTGTACATTATATAAATCTGTAGGCAATACATTATATGTACCAAGCAAAACAAACATTCAACATGAAAGGTATCTCCACACAAGCACACCCGAGTATGTAGACGCCATGCTGAATTTGTAAAAAAGACCCACCTCAAAAAAGAAAAGAAAAGCGTACCTACCTACCCAAACTTTTTAGCCTGGGTCGGGTGAGGGCAAACAAATATTTTTTAATAGTGACCCGAGGCATGGAGCGAGTGAGGCGTGGAGACGCACAGCGCGCGCACAAACCTGCGAAGGCCTTTGCCTCGTCCGTCGGCACCGCCCGCAAGTGCCTCAGGTCGCTCTTGTTGCCGACGAGCATGATTACGATGTTACTGTCGGCGTGGTCGCGGAGCTCCTTCAGCCACCGCTCGACGTTCTCGTACGTTATGTGCTTAGCGATATCATACACTAGCAGCGCGCCGACGGCACCTCTGTAGTACCTGTGGGCAGCAGACGTCAGAGATCAGAGGCAGTGTCAGCACGTGCAAGGGGAGCACAGGCAAAGGATGCGATGGGAACACGCACCAGCAGGCACGCACGAAGCAGCAGATTTGACTAATATCGTCTGCACTCTCTTTCGCCTCGTTCTCGTTCCTAATCAAGGCTCGCGGAAGAAGCGACGAAAAGTGTTGGAGTAGAGTACTTCACTGCATTCGTTCGAGCACGTTGGCTGCTGCGCCTTCTAATGAAGCACGAGCCATTTCCGCGTCGCATGCAACACTTTTCAAAGACTACGGCGCTCACGAGACCCCATTCGAGCTAACAAACGATGTGCGATTTCAATGAGGCTACTAACTGCAACATGACAACATAGATGTTGCCTTTTGATGCTGCGACAAACCAAATGTCGTTAATCATACACAATACATCCAGGCGTGCGTACGCTCCAATTATCCTCAGTGAGCACCAGAACACACCCGACCCCCCTCTCCCCGTGTATATTTCGATGTGCCTGTCCGCCAGACGCAAAACAAGTGCTCACGCGTTAGTGATGGCTCGATAGCGCTCCTGACCGGCCGTGTCCCATATCTGTGCCTTTATCGTCTTCCCGTCAACCTGCAACATACAGCGGATGGTGAAAAAAGGTGCGTGGCCGGTGTCATCATCACTCACGACCTCCATTATTATACAGCATGCCTGCTGTACAAGCACGTCCCATACAGCACAACACAGCTCAGACGATAGATGCGGTACTGTAGTTCCTGCTTTATCAGGCCTCGAATAAATGGATGCACATTGCTTCAATGACACATCTTTTAAAACAATCCGTATGCAAGTTGTTGTGTGTTCACTGTTTAAGGGTACTCTCAAGGTTTTCCACGAAATTTCATAGATTTTTCATTTTTCTCAGTAGATATGTCAGAAAAATCCTGATGCGTTATTTTTGAACATATTGTGTTTAAGATGTAACAAAAATGTTTGTATCCAGTCACTCTTTCTGGTAATTGAGAAATATCCCAAATACAATTTTTAGATAAAAATTCAAAATTTGTGTGGTAACATAATTAGGTGCTGGAAATTCCATGAAATTTTTTGGCTTGAGCATAGAGATATATCTCCTCTATAAATAAAACAAGTGATTGATTTGATTCATTCGTCAATAAACGTTTAATCTTCATTAGAGCAATACCCCGGGCCGCAGGCCCCTTTCTACGTTGCGCAAACCGGGCGCGCCCGCCCCGTTTGGGAAAACTCCCCCCACGTTTCAATCGTTGCGCCCCGTTTAAATTACCTCCGCCCCGATTAAATTCCACCACAATAAAAGTTTGAAAGCGCGGGAATCGATCGTCAAGAATTCCCATTCGACCAGGCCACCGGACGCGTGTATTTTTACGGTACCACTAATGCGTAAACGTCCTACACTACGCATGCACTGCAGACCACAAACAAGTACAAACAGTCAACCTGTCCCAACCCCTAAAACTAACTATAAACCGACTCGGCTATCTTATATATATACAAGTACCCCAAATACCGTCTATGGTGTGGTAGCGATTTTACGCATTAGGTAAAAAAAAACACTCCCCGGACCCCCCTAGTTTCCCCTCCCCCTCCCCCCTGTTTCAATTTCATCCTGGGGAGAACCCTGGGCCGTGCAAAAGGTGGAGAGTATCCTCCAAAAGGGGGAGAAAATCAGGAAATTTTCGTGATTACCCAACATTTTCGTGATGACTCGATAAAGTGGGACCACTGTATCAGCTTTAAAAGTTCAACAATAATTTCAATCTTTGTGAGAACTGTGTTTTAACGCGGTTATCTTATTCATTACCCAACATTCCTATATATTTCCCCTATACTATCTAAAGCAGTCAGAAAAGATGGGATAAAATCTAAACAATCTGAAATTGATCAAGGAGCAAAAAGTGGGTGCATCGCACCAAGATGTCGTTGCAGTAGGGGCTGGCCATACAACATGCATAGCCTGGAGCATACTGCGATATATATACGGATATATCGTTAGTGCTCAGCTCACCCGACTTTCAGAGTCACTCACTTACCGACCACTACAATAAGGAAGTCTTAATTACAAAGAACCTAAAAACCTTAATCAAAGGCACAAAAAGTATGTGAACATAGAAATGCATTCCATTAAACTCACGCGGTTGCTAATTGCTAATACCGGCGAAGTGATAGGGCAGTGGACATCACTGCAAACGATGACAGATTAATTTCCTTACATGTGAAATGTCTATGCTAGATGGGAAACACGATACCTGAATGCTTCTTGTTGCAAACTCCACGCCGATTGTACTTTTGCTTTCCAAGTTGAACTCATTGCGAGTAAACCGTGATAGCAAGTTACTCTTTCCCACACCGGAATCACCAATTAGCACAACTATAAAAAACATCCAGAATGCAAAGTTAATGATTGCAAGTGGTAAAATTGTATCTGTTATGATGAAGGCCTGAATGCAATAACATGCAAAATGATAATTTCATTTTAAGCAAACTTAAAATCACCCCATATTAAAAATTCGACGCAGATACATATTGCTCACGCCAATGCCTACTCACTACCTAACCAACAGATACGGCTGAAAAATCAATAATAGAACACTAAACACTAAGATTTATTTAACTCATGGGCTGTAGCGATCTACGAACAATGGGCATCGATGAGGAAGACAATAAATGTGTAAATATCCTATGAGAAAGTAGCACATACGCATAGATGAAGTTGAAAAGTTAACCTATACTAAACATATAAAAAAAGCATCATACAATTTAGCAAATAAAAAATTGCACTGGAGGTATGCAAACAACTTATTATGAAATTGTGTTATCTTTTTACAACTATATATAGTTCAGGTTTCTTATCAGTCTGTATGGCTGACTTGCCTATTTTTTGTAACATATTCATATCTAAACAAATAGTTTATTTGCTATGCACTCTTTCTACACATACAGCAGCATAAACCAAAGCAAAAGCAAGCAGTGATAAATCACAGGGCTCAAGTTCATATATCACGAATCACTAAACGTAATTCTGATAAATTTCAACGGGCCAAGTTCCACCAAACTTTGCAATATCAGTTGGTCTGGTCTTCACTTTATCAAATAAAAACTTGGAAAAATGGTGTTTAACTTTTACATTCTAGGTATATATAGCAATTTCTTTGGTGACAGTGTTTTTATTAGTTCTAATCCTTCAGTAGGGTACTCTTCTTTACTGAACTCACCATTAGAGGTTATTATCTTATTAGTAGATAGTTAGATAAATAACTGCCTTTGGTTAGTATCACTTTTAGGATTGTGAGTCATTATTCATACATAAATATGCATTGCGGAGATGGCAGATAACTAGCACCACACCAAGTGCGCACTAACAATAATTGAAGCAAAGCCTATGCCAAAAGCCATGCACCAAACATGAGGGTTAAATACGCAAAAAGTATATATATTGATCAATGCTTTCAGTTGTGTAGGTTATACGCGTCGTCTGGTGCAAATGAACTTTGTGCATACCACGCCTTACTGTATACCTTCCTGTGTTCACATAGCCAATAACATACAAACAGGCCCATAGCCAGGGCCATCCTTAAAATTATATATGTTTGCTGTCCTCCGACCGGACCCACGAAAATAGCCGCGACCCAAAAGTTTTTGTTTACATTTTGGCTCCATATTTTTTTATATATATTTTTTTCCCATTTTTGATAGTTAAGACTGAAACACAAAGCATGTGTGGCAAACATGAGGACAGACTTAAAATAACTATTATGTAGTGTTGTCAATCGGTTGTAATTTCGTAATCGATCATCGGTTGGACCCAAGTAACCGATGATCGGTTACAATCGGTTACTCGGGGTGTTGAATGCCTGCGTGTGCGTAACGTCGTGTGCATGTATGTGCTTGTTTAGCCCTGTTTACTGTTTGTTTTGCACTGTTTACTACTGTGTGTATAATACATGTATGTTAATAAAGGATAACTTGTATAGTAGCGATATCTCTGATTCTCATCACTTTTTCAAATTATTTTTTTGGATGAAATCGATTATGGATTTTGATAACCAAGCGCTTGGTTCGAGACACTGTTCAACCGATGATCGAGTATAATCGATGATCGTGACATCACTACTATTATGCCTCACAAAAAAGCCCTACCTACCTACCCACTAAAAAAATCATGGGTCGGGGGACAGCAAACATAGGATTTTTTAAGGATAGCCCAGGGGGGGGGGGTTGCACGAACCCCCTCCGAGCCCCTCCCCCGAGCAAAAAAACAAACAAACTTTTTTTCCATTTGAAAATTTGCAAGGTATGCACCAGATCGCTCCATTTTAGTGTAATAATTGCAAAATCTCCATTGTGCGGGAGGGGGGTGTCACACCCTCCCCCGGCTCGGTCGCTATGCTCCCTCACTCGGTCGCTTCGCGCCCTCACAAATTCAAACACTCAAAACAGGTCAGTTACATGATTAGTGTTAAAAGCATATTACTATAATGAAATATTTATTAGACAGAAGAATCAATATAAGCATTTAGCTAACTATAATGATAAAAGATGGTACACTTGTTGTGCCCAAACTTGGAATCTTGTACAAGCTAGGAATTTCAGCGCATTTGCAGTTTGGGCAACCAATATGCAGATTGGCCAAAACCTGTTACATATCTAGGATTATTAGGTTAAATATCATTACCATGAGTTCTTGTCGGCTTTCTTCAATGTGTTTGGCATCTTTGTTAAAATAATAAATGATTATATTACATAACTTGATAAGTATTAGAGAAATCCCTTCCTAGTTTGTACCAGTTATGCTCGCATACGCCACAATCGCCATTAAGAGTAGTTGAATTTAAGCGACTGTTTTCAGCGTGTGCAATCTTGAGATTGGTCAGCCAAACTAGGAAATCCGCAGTTTGGGCAGCACGATCTTAAGATTGGGCAAGATTCCAAGTTTGGGCACAACATATGCACTGTACTTCCAGCTTTATGAAATAGCTCCAGTGTCTACAAGTACAAGGAAGAAAAAAGGTTAGAAGTCGCTACCGTGATGGATGGCTGCATCACTGGTCAGGGGAAAAAATACACGGGGGCGGCGGGCGATTTCCCCCCCCCCCGAAAACATGATATCGGGGGCGACCCCAAAAGAAAAAGTCGTCCTGGAAATTGATTGTCCAGGTCGGTCCCGCCCCTTGCCGCTCTCGCTCGGCGTTGCTGCGCTGCGATGCCTAGGCCTATGCCGCTAGCGGCAGCCGGTTCCACGGCGCGGTAGAATTCATGGTACGGTGTGACTGTCAAGTGTTTACCATTTAAGCATGCATGTGTGTACTTTACTGTATTGCATTCAATCAAGAGTAGATAATATAACAAGAGGGAGACACCCCGATTCCCGCATTTTTAACCGATTTTTTTCATCAAAATTTGCCACCAATAAAGAAGCAAGTGTATACGTTCCTCAGCTTATTATGACCACTAATCACTCACCTTCGTGGTACTGATATTCGTTTACATATATTTGCTAGCGTATTGCTGTAAATCGTAATCTTGCACGGATGTTATATTATATACTCTTGATTCAATCAAGCACGCGCCGCCGCCCACGCGTATATACGTGTGTGGCTGTGTGCTTGCGTGCGTGCCGGTGTGCCTGCGGGCGTGCTTGCGTGTGTGCCTGCGCGCGTGCCTGTGTGTGCCGGTGTGCCTGCGGGCGTGCTTGCGTGTGTGCCTGCGCGCGTACATGTGTGCTTGCGTGTGTGCCTGCGCGCGTGCATGTGTGCGCGCCTACGTAGACCCGTAGGACCAACGACCCATAGGATTATAGAAGGGTAATCCATGGAAAATCCTAATGAAATTCACACGTATATTTTTCCCTGCCAGCACACTCGTGTGTCATTCCCGATTGTAGCTTTTTCGTCAATTCCCCGAAAAAGTTTTGCTGTCGCTCTCTCATAGTAGGTATCACAGTAAAGCACATTATTGCGGTTCCTGCTGCACCGCGAGTGAGAAAAAGCTTCCCTTTCAACAGGCGAAATTAGCACCAAGATTATTATTTTAATGGGAAAATTATATACCATTTGAA